CTCTCTCTCTCTCTCTCTCTCTCTCTCTCTCTCTCTCTCTCTCTCTCTCTCTTTCTGTGTGTGTGTGTGTGTGTGTGTGTGTGTGTGTCTGTCTGTCTGAAGAAGAAGAAGAAGAACCAGGGGGTAGAGGAAGAGGATTGGCCGCTTGGGCTTGTCGCAGCGCAGCAATCTCTATCGTCAAGTCACGGTACTTGCCGGTCATCGCAGTCAGATCCTCCTGAAGTTTCTGCAATTTTGCGAAGACTTCGACGATCTGAGTGGTATGATCTTCAAGGCTTCGGACTGACAATAGCGGTAAGTATGGACTGCAGTTGTTCCCCACACTGCTCTTTGGTCAGCGAGGGGACAATTTCCAAGACGGCCTCCTGACTTTTCAGCAGCAATTCCTTCCTCTCCTTCTCTGTCTTCTGTTCGCTTTTGATGGCACTATCTAGGAGTGCTGGCAGATACGGATTCTCCGCATCGCTGGCTGCATCTAACGAGGTGGTCTTCCACTGGCCTGAGGTTAGTCGTGGCTGGGCCATTTTTGAACCGTTGTCGTCGGCAGGTGGATCGGAGAGACGCCAATCAGCAAAAGAATCAATCAGACTCTCAAGAGGTACACTCCCCTTTTCGCTTGGACGAAAACTCCGTTTCCCAGTCCTTGCCCATCCCAAACGGTCACTTTCCCTCTCTTCCTTTTCTCTCGCTCTTCTCTCTCTCTCTTCTTTCTGGTTGAGAGTCTCCACGGGCATCGAAAATGAACTATGAGAAACAGACTGAAAAACTCAGAGAAGAGAAGGTAGAACTCCTAGCCGGAGCGGCATTTCATTTGGACTTAGAGAGCAGCAAACCAAAGAACAGCAAACAAATCCACATGGGAGGTCTGATCCAGCGACCCAGTCTGATCAGACTGCATACGAGGTCCTCTCGAGTCCAGTCTGACCAGCTCCGTGACTGTGAAGCAAAGCAGACAACGAGTGACTAAATGCAACAATGGAGAATTGAGTGATGTACAGGGTGCGAGTCAAGCCACGAACGGTGCAACCAAAAGCATGCGAAACGTCTCACGGCCGAGAACCCTTCGGCAGTGGGTGTCCTAACCAACAAGAATAAAACTCCAGACTAATGCCAAACAGATTTGGGTCCAAAGGGCTCGTCTTGTTTTGGCCAGGTCCCATTGGGTCCCAGACGTCCCACGTAGGCCGCGACCAGGTCCCAACCAAGAGGAGTCCCACATGGACTCAGTTCAGTTTCTACCGCACCGAAAAACGAAATTCCAACTTTCCAAGACCTACAGACTACAACCGTTCAGAGATGAAAAGACAAAGCACTGTAGAAAGACTCGGCATTCGGATCAAGATACTTCATTTTCCATCCATCCGGTGAGTAGGTAGATCACACACATTCAATCACACAATCAAGTCCGCAGAGGAGTAGAAAAAGAAACCCAGAGTAACCCCGACAGGACAAACCATACCATGCACACATTCATGGGCATCCCGTAGATGCACGTCATTTACCTGAGTGGCCTTGAGCTTCAAGATGGATAGAACTCACCCCCCTCTCATGTGATACACCTGGCCCTTCCTAACGCTACCACCTACACTAGTGTCCTATCTCCTAGGAGGGTCCGACTCCAACACCCAAGTGCAACGCTGGATCCCCCGTCGATGCTAAAGAACAAAGTAGCAACCTACAGTCCGTAAATGCTGAGTGGCCGCTGACCCTCAAGCTCGACAACTTAAGCGCAGCCCTTAAGTTGC